TCGATCTCTACAGCTATAAATAACCAGATTTAATACACTGTTACGAATTTTGTACATAGATAGATAGATGATTTTAGTGCAATTATTGTATGTGTGAAATTGTTGTATTTTTTGTATACAGTAACAAGAAAATCTTGAGAAACGAGTTATGCCGGCAAAATACGAATACAGGGGCAAGTCTAAAATTAAGTGAGTATCTCGATAATTTGGGGAGATATCGCGAAGCCGGCAAAGGTTTTGGAGACTAACTTTTGTCGCTAAATTTGACGAGAAATCGTCAAAAGTCGCCAAGCTTGGCCACTATATTATCTGTAACCGTAATTCGGCCCTCTTATTGCCTTCCAGTAATTTCGAGAAGCAGAAAGTATCAGAAATATCTCGGCAGCCAGGTGAAAACCATAGCAGGCAGGAGAGAGCATTTGCTCTCTGTTCCTGAATAGATTGGTTTCCGACAAAATCTTTCTATTCCTAAACAATTAGTAAAACTATTGTTGAGTTTGTTGGCACGGCTCTTCATAATGGCCAAAATGTTGTCTTACTCATGCTGAACGTGACTACATTCAACTGCGTCTAACATGAGAAGCTAATTTACAAATTAATAAACTAGAATTTCCATACAAAGTCATACTTCTAATTATGTCCTTCTTACAAAAATGTCATTTAAAGTTACTATTGGTAAAGCACAATCAGACTTGAGAGAAATCAAAGCTGAAGTTCCACAGGGCTCTGAATTATGCCCTATCCTCTACCTCTTCTATGTGATGGGCTTTTTCAAACCAGTGAATTATTTTATGGTCTGTTACGACGATGATACCGCCTTGGCAGTCAAATCAGCAAATACAAATCATGGATCCGAAAGCTCCAAGAGTTATTGCCAATAACTGAAGACTAGTGCACAAAATGGAGAATATCCACCAGTGCCCATAAGTCAGTTGCTGATATTCATAAAACGCACATGAATATTTTATCTAGGGAAAACCCGACTTTTTGATGAAATTATTCCAAAAGTTTGCAAAACCGAATACGTTGGCATCACTTACAATAGCAAACTTAATTGGAAGGACCACACCGAAAATGTTAATAATAAAGCAACAAAAGTCATCAGCTGCCTTTTCTCAATTATTCGCAACTATTCCACATTAGACTTCAGCAAGAAACGTCTCATTTATATCTCAACTGTGCATCCAGTTCTTATCTATCTTCACCGGCTGGGACTACTCTTACCAAAAATGACCTGATCAAACTCCAACAAGTACAAAACAATATCTGCGCATCATTACTAACGCACACTTTTACATGCGCAATCAAAGACTGCACGAGTAAGAATACCAAAATTATTCATAAGTTTCTCAACAAAATCAATAGAAATTTCCACAAAAGTAACCTTCTCATGAATTTTAACTTGTTTCAATATGAAATTTTACAACAGAATAAAAAATTACATCCTTATGCTACACATCTCCTACGAGATTTAAATTTTCCAAAATAAACTTTACACAGACATTGCTGTATTTGTACTTATTGCATAATATTATTTCTTTGTCTCTATTTGAATTTCTGTTAGTATTTTGTGCATCTATTTTTATCTCTATTATGACTTTAATCTCGTATTCCAATCCATTAGGACTCTAGTTTGATTTCTCAAACTTGGGAGAAAATATTTCCTCTCTTCCACATTTGTTAAATTTTTTCTTCTGGGAATCTAACTTGATGTATTTTTAGGTGAAGTGCCTTTAGGGCAACATTTTATTGAGCCGGACACATTGCGAAATTTGCAATATCGCGGCATAACGTTACCGATATGTGCCCTCGGTTATTGTTATTAGCTGTTAGCTCAGCGTGACTTCTGAGTATTATCTCCGGTTTAGCTTCGCTTGCATTGCGTAGTGTTGTGTTTAACGTTCTTGGTAGCTTGAAGTGTAACTACCGATTGTACTCTGTGATACTGTGATCACCCGTAAGAGTATTCTTGTGGAAAATTCTAGAATTCTAAAGTGTTTCTTTTGGGACCTATGTGCATTTAACCTATTACGGCCCGTACGCACGCAACAATACATATATTAATCACATTTAAATCCACGAAGAATCGATTTTAGATAAGAGTAATGTAATTTAATACTGATTGTTAAATATAATTTAGATTAGATAACCCGAAGCATAAGAATTTACATGCTTCATTTCCGCCTTATACTACCAAGACAACAGTTTGTAGAATTCGTTGTTACGGTCCGGCGCAATCTAAAATACGCTGTAAATGCTATTCTGCGCATTTAAAAAGGATACAAATTTACTCTTAAGAGTTAGGAAAACAGATTAATGAACAGATTCTTACTATTTTACACTAGCCATTAAGATTGCAACACCAGGAAGGAATGATCTGACGAACGCCAAAATAACATGAAAGGAAGAAGAGGTTGGGATATGCACATGATTAGTATTTCAGCCCATTATTCATGATTATTTCAGCCCATAATTAGTATTTCAGACGACGCAGGAGGGAGAAATGACATCTAAAGGTCTGCATGTAGTTAGTAGCTATGTAGTGGATTTCTCATTCGGAAAGCGCTTTTTAAGGTCGGAGTTTGCTCAATATCGTGTTTATGTCTCGAACAATAAGCAGAAATCCAGCAAGTGTCGGAATGTGATAGAGGCAGGATCGTTGCCTATCGGGAGTGTGATTATCGTTCTGTGATATCGGCCGTCGCACTGGTCAACATCCAACCACTGTCATGCGAATATGGAATCAACGGGTTGCTGAGGGTTATAATACTGAACGGCATTAAGATCTCAACGCACTCCAATGACTAACGCCGTACAGAACAGACATATTGCAAGGTTAGCACTTCAAAACCGTACAACCACATCATGGACCATTAGTAAGGAGATGGGCATGTTTGCAGCACGCTTAGTATCCGCTCGTACGGTGCTTCGACGTTTGCAGCCGCGTAGACTATCAACACGACGACCATTAATTACTTCGGCTTCCCTTGACAATGCAGCACAGAGAGACGTCCCCTCTGGTGCGCCGAACGACAAAGCTGGATACAGGAGTGGCACAATGTTGTCTTTTCAGACGAGTCCCGATTCTTCGTGCAGTATTCTGATGGCCGTATACGTGTTTGCAGACTCCAAGGAGACCACATGTCGCCTGCTTGCATTCGATATCGGCATAGGGGCCTTGCACTTGATGTAATGGCTTAGGCAGCCATTGGGTGCACAACACGCAGACCTCCAGTTCGAATCGACAGTAATTTTAATGCACTTCGGTACATTTCTAACATCTTACGGCCAGTGGTTGTGCCCTATATTCCAGGCTGGCCAAATGCCATCTTCCAACAAGATAATGCAAGATCACATATTGCATGTCGTGTTCTAACCTTCCTCTGTACACAGGGTATTTGATTGCTGTCCTGCACAATCACCAGGTCTGTCACCCACTGAAAACCTCTCACGGGTTGCTGAGAGACTGGCCCGCCACCTCTCTCCAGCTAATACGGTTGATGAAGTATGGCATATACTTGAAGTAACATGGAATGAGTTGCTCGTTTCCGTTATCCAAGCACAGTTCGACTCCATGCCTAACCGGGTAAGAGCCGTCTTAGCTGCCATGGTCGGCAGCTGTTTCTACTAATTTTGTCCCCCCCCCTTGTGAACCCCCAAACTGCTTATAAATTTAATAAGTCTGTTTTCATGCCATACTGTTTACGCATATTAAATATCTTTTTCGTATTTGCTTTCCTTCACGGTGTTGCAATTTTAATAGCCAGCAGCGTATTTATGTATATATATTCCACTTAAATCTTCTTATAATATACAAAAGCCCGGTGGCGAATGGGCTAGCGCGTCGTGCAGCTGCACCACAGGTCCGGGATTCGATCCCCAGGCTCAAGGTAGACTCAGCCTTTCATCCCTCAAGTGGGTCGATAAAATGAGTACCAAGTTCGCTTGGGACTAAACACCGGGGGCCCTGCGACAAGCTGACCACTTGCCCACGGCATATCCCGATGCACTCCGGAACCCAGAGGTCAAGAAAGCAGAAAAAGAGCGCCGTGGCCCACTATGGCTGTTGCGCCACTGAGTTAAGCTTTTTTTTTTTTTTTTTTTTTTTTTTTTTTTTTTTTTTTGTAATATACAAAATCATTTTATATTGCCAACTCCATGTTGTAATCGAACTCTAGCAAAAGAGCACGGCCGTGCGAGCAAAAGTCATAATGATTTTAAATTCTCATCTAAATTTCACTCATAACCCTCGCATAGGATAATAGTTACAAACATGAAATTGCGGACAATAGGTTAGTTTAGGTATAAGTGCAGGGGCCACCTATTATTTAGCCTGAGCAATTAATAAAGGTCCCTTACACAATCTATCCAGATTAACATCGCCTTCCTGGGGCCTACGGTGCCGTTCTGTTGCCGAGTTGCTATTTTTATTTGGTGCAAGCGACATCGCAAGCTCTCCCACCGCTGGCGGTGTCATCAGTTGTCCCGTTTCTATGTTCGGACTTGGGCATTGCTCCATTAAACACTGTATACACGCAATGGCTGTAACAGAAATACATTACACAGTTGCTTAAGTAATATGTTAGCTTGCTTGGACCGGCGTAGCATGGTATATAACTGCGTATGAAATGATTGCATCTTCACCACATCTGGCCATTCGTTACTTAGGCCCTTGACTATTTTTGAACAAAATTCTATCTATGTTTCTGAGCTCTTTTTAACATGATAAGCCTGTTTTATCTTTCTTTCCAGTTAGCCTGTGATTAAGATTTCATCGATATATTGGCAGTCGGAGATTTGCGTAGAATTTGACAGAAGATAGATTTAATAGAATATAATTTTGTTAACGGCACATCGTCAATCAACAGTACTGGCGTGGTCTCAATGAAAGTACTGACACAGTGTTTAACATTCTAACCTAGTTGGACTCCGTAAGTTTTATTCAGGGGTTTGAAAATTATTAAAAAAACTCATATATAAACATTTTTGTTAAGACTTACCGGCACATTTAAAACAATCTAAATGAAAGTATCGATCCTGCACCCTCAAGGCGTTGCCACTGCACTTCTTCTTACAAACATCACACAGAACCTTACCTAGAAAAACAAAAATTCTTTATGATGAATGTACTTTAAATTCATTCACTAATACACATTCTGAAAGCAAAACATCACGCAGAATATGATTATGAATGAGTATATAATAAAAAAATATACTTAATTATGAAATTTGACAGTATAATGCAAGCTACAAATATATGTCTACGAATTTCATAAAAACTAAGTTAACATTTATCTAATTACAGGATAATGTTATTTACAGCATAAGCTACTTTAATTGGCAGTTTAAAAACAATCTGAATGGATCAAGGAAAAAATTAAGGTCGGGGTCTTTGATGAGATTATGTAACTTTTAGAAGATTTCAAGAAGTTTCAATCAGCTTCACAACGTAGCCTTCAATACACCACAAAGACCTGCGCGGTCTTAGTAACATGCGCACCAACCAGACGAACAGTTTGTCTTCTTCTGAACTCCGATATATCTTCCATTTAGGTCCTGTGATTCTGAATGCTTAAAAAGTCAATACTTCCAATACCGCTGAAAATTTATACTTCGTACTTTGCTGCTACAGATTAAAATTCAAAAGCATTCAAAATTTCCAAAGGAAGGCGCACACATGCTAGCATGAAATTCGGGGCGCTATGTTCGCGAAGTGCTTCAGCTTCACTGTATAACACCAGTACGTTTCTTAAATGATAATTTTATAAACCAGTCAAATTCTGGTACTGTTATAAATGGCGTTTTCAAAAGATCAAGATTTTTATTTAAGCGATAGGCGTTCGATACATTATACTGCGCATACACAAATTTTTCAAAATTATATGTTTTTTATCTGTAACACTTTTTTTAAGACTTCACGTACTATGGCATAATAAATTAACTCACCAACTATCTTTTAAATATCTTATTTGGGTGTGTTTAAGAGTTCAATGTTTCTGTTATATTAATGATAAATGCTAAAATTTTTCTTGTACCGTAATTTACAGAAGTAATCCCAATTAAAAATTAAACCATTGAGCTGTACCAGTTTCCTGATCTTTAAAACAGGCAACTAAATTTATAATTGAAAAATATGGCATTTAATTTAGGAAGTTTAATGAATAACCACGTTAAGCTCAAGAACTAGTTTATCTTACTTGGACGATTTTTTGACTAGTAATGGGCCTCAACTAACATTTATGTATTTATCATCTACTTTTAATTATTACAAGTACATTGCTGAGTTGATTAAAATTTCACCTGGAATTATCGTTCTATTTAATTAACGTGAACTTTACTGACCAAGTACATCGTAGATGGCTCGAATTTTTGTGGTAGCAGTATTTTAAAATTCAAAAATCTTCATCCAGAAAATCACTGCGCAGAAATATTAATCTTTAAAAGGATATCGAGAGAGAAATTTCATAACAAATGAAGCTGCACAGAAAATTGACGACTAGTTAGCACTTAAAATTTTTGTGCATTTATAAAATCTATCTTAATGATAAAAGGCGACACCGTTCACTAATTTTTCGAAAACTGCGGAGCCGTTTTTGTATTTTGCGCATCATAACAGGCTTGGCCACCACTTTTTTTTTTATTTCATTTTATAAAAGAATTGCATCTAAAAATCCAAATTTTACACAAAAAAATAAAATTTAGAGGGTCAAAAAAATCTCCCTTTCATTTGTACACTTTTACATACGTTTTGAACATATTTGCTCCCATTTACTTTTGTACCGCGCAGTCAGCGAAAAAAATTAGAGGGAACATTGATGATGAACGTGTAGTTACTCGCATTTTTAGGTATATATAAAATAAACCTTCGAAATGTCGATTGACGACACCTTTCAAGAGTTAAATTTATAGCAATGAAGATAAATGGAAGTTCTTTACTTTTACGTTATTCAGGCATTTCTGCAAAAGCATATTCTGAGGCATTTCTAAAAAATGGCGGACAGCAATCTTCTCTTTGCCGACCGTTTGACGCAAGAATGACCATCTTGTCTCAAACCTCTATTACGCATTTCGCGGTTATCGCTGTGCTACAAGTACGGGGAACAAAAAAAAAAAAAGTAAAAAATGTCAGATCCATAACTTTACGAGCACCGATATGAACAGGACTACCGTTCACTATACAATCAAGGTCGTAGATGTCCAAGAAGCGTAAACATAATCTGGTAACACACTTAACGACAAGGAAGAAAAGAAGTTGGTGAAAATGTGGAGGAGTCGTCTGATCAAGATAAAGAGGATGTTACTATGACTCAGCAATGATCTGAGCTCTGCGTCACCTCGTAACCCATCCAGTTGTGAATGGAACATTTTTCACAGTAAGAAAGTTGTTTTCAGTTAAGCACATGAATATAAAAATCACTACATGACATGCAAATAAAAGAGTTAATGTCATTTATAACCGCTTATATATCATGGCATCTGACAGTAACCTAATACGGACTTTTTTCCCCTAAACTTGTTCAGCTACTGCTTTCAAAATGATATGGCAAGCGACACATTCATTACGTGAAAGAAAGTAAAAGTTTTAATGGATTACATAGTTGTACATAAGCTGCATATAAAAGTGGATTGCTCTTTATCCGTCCATTCGTACTTAAATAAGTACATTTAAACCGATACTCGTGATAGATACGACAAAAAGAAGAAACAATATCTAAACCGCATAAATATAGATCAGGATTAGGAGGCATGTATAAATATAGACCAGATTAGGAAGTCATCAAATTGCTAGAAATAAAACTAGAAGTATATAAATGAGTAATCATGAAAAACAAGTGTATAAAAATGAACATGAAACTGTAAAAATAAATTATAACCTCGAGGGGAAAATGTACATTTTAAAAAATCAACTATTATACATGTAATTCTCGACCGATAACATTGATTTTGAAATCAGACAGAGAAAAATATCAAAATAAACTATACCTTATTGAAAGAGAAAAGTATCAAAATAAATTATACTTTATTTTGCATCAACATAACATATATGGCTTTATTGCAATTCTGCACTGCGTATGATGAATAAAAACAAATTCGCATATACTATTACAACTGTTTCAATACTATAAAGTGGCTTTAATGAAAATAATTTAACTATACAGATTGTGTACCCCGATTTTATTCGAAGCATTTCTATCAACGAATGAATTTATTTGCCGTGGAAGTCTTGAACTCTTCGTCGCTATATGATTTCTTCAGATCTCCCGTTTTACATGAATGCAAATATCACGCAACAGCGATGATGGTGTATAACAGACATGGCCAAACCAAAGCATATGTATTGTACATACAACGTTCTCTGGCCTAACTGCGGCTCGGGTTTCCCGACACCTTAACTGCGGCTCGCGAGCTACTTGCGACCATTTACCATCTATGCGACTTGTTTTTGAATAAATACACTTTATTTTCTTAATAGAAACGGAATTTGAAATAGAAATCATGCAGTGTCACGTTTCTTTATTAATCTATAATTTAATTTCTGATATTATATGTAAAAATTTGATAGATTTCAAACTGTCCACTGCTGGCTTATCGTCAGAGCAACAAATACGTAGGATTACAAATAATTCCATTTCTGGTAATTACTATTCCGGTTATGTTACTTTTTGCACAGGTAATGGTCATCGGAATACAATAATACGAAGTTAATCAAAAACGCAACGCTAATATTTTTATTTAATTACTATCCGTAATATTTTTCTCTCAAGTTAATTTTACTTCAGGAAGTATCTGGTTACATTCCTGTGTGATCCCATTCTTCACAACAGTTGTGATCCCTCTAGAAGATTTGCTATTCGTTGTAGGGTACTACTTTTCAGTCCTTGAATGGCGTGAGTATCTGCTGAAGAAGCCTGTTTCCTCTTGCAATTCATATACAGCTCTTTTTAATCTGTGGAAGAATTTTACGAGGATTTTATTTTGGGTGGAGTGAACCTTCAGCCTCTTACAAGAGACTTGTCCCAATTTTCTGCAAAACTCCTTCAAATTAATTTCCTATCCCTAAGCAAGTCAGGCATTTTTATGCAATTGCTTCCCAGATTTCGCAATAATATCTTAATGAACTATTAATTCACAATAATATCTTAATGAACACTCTTTCCGCATGAAACTCTATCTTTCGTAATAATTCCTTGGTAATCCTAGGCAGATACCATAATTTATGTCACCAATGGTTGTTCATGCTGAAATATTCGGAGTCGTGGGAAGAATCACTGGTTTGACAACGATTTATCTTTTAGTCAAAAAGTTTAATTCCCATTTATCAAATATTGTTATTCCAGATAGAGATCTTTCCCCTTAATCATCAAATCTTTAAATCAACAACGTTGCACCAAGCAATGAGAGATCAACAGAACACAAACATCCGTCTTCTCAAAAGTTACAGTCAAAATTGGTGAAATCTTTTTAGCTTGTGATATTTCCTCATATTTTTTATTTCTTGTTTTATGACCTTCTTTCTTTCTACCTCGCACTAGGTTAGAGGCATTTTGCTGCCCGGCACATCTAAAAATTTTCACCCCTTAGTACTGCCGCTCTGCAGCTGCACCGGTTGCCCTGGCTCTGATGCCAGCATTACACGTCTTTTAATCTGTTGATATTTTTTGTTTAATTTTCGATCATCATGTGCGTCTTACACGTCCTTCATGAAAGCTGCACAATGATCCACTGCTTGATCACTATAAATTTCAGGGAATAATGTGAAATGTTGCGCCCTTAAAAGTTTATTCTTAAAGTCTGATCTTTTATTTTCTAAAGTATCCTCTGCCTACAGACTTCATTTCAAACTCCATTTGAGATTAATTTTCTATACACAGGTTAGATAATCCAATGGAAAGTTGTACTATGTAACCGTTAGGCTGCCATTAATTTATTATAAACTTTCTTCCGAGTTATTTTAACTCAGAAATTCAAGACGAGACGGTAAGTCATCCGACTGCCTTTATGGGTGTAACAATTAGAATATAGTGAATCCGTACAGCTATTTGGCAAGAACTTGGGAACTAAACTATTGTGCAGATGTCTGCCGTGTTATAAAAGG